GAGAATCTGAATCTTCTCTCCTGTCGCCGCCATCTGGAGTGTGACGGGGCGGCGTGGCTTCACCGCCCAGGAGACTCGGCATCCACGCCCTGGAACAGACGCAGTGCCGCCGCCGAGAGCCCAAAGTAGTCGATGGTGCTGCACGCGGCGGCCGTCCTGCGCGTGATGGCCTTGGGCGCCGCCATCGTGAGCAGGGCCGCCGCAGGGAGCTGCGCCGCCTCGACGGCCGCCGCCTCCATGTTCCAGTCGCCGCCGACAATGCTCGGCGACGCCTGCCCCGCCAGCGCCTGGCCGACCGCGCCCAGGATGGTCGCGTTCCTGACCGTCATGCCCTCGGCGCAGTGAAGGTACAGGTTGAAAATGTTCATAGGCGGCCACCCCGGGACGTCTACTACCACATGCAGTGCACGCCGTGGAGCCAGAACACTACGACCTGGTGGGCGTCGCAGCGGGAAGGGGGGGGGCCAACATCTGACTCAGTCGATCTCACTATCGATCTCACTCAACGGGACACCACGGGACACCACGGGACATTTGTCGCTCTCACTATCGATCTCACTCAACGGGAAACCACGGGACACCACGGGCCACCACGGGGCGCCACGGGAAACCGCGGGGCACCGCGGGACACCTCTCGATCTCACTATCGGTCTCACTATCGAGCTCACTATCGATCTCACTCAACGAGACACCACGGGACACCACGGACACCTCGGGACACCACATCGATCTCTCTATCGATCTCACTATCGAGCTCACTTTTTGAGACACCACGGGGCACCTCGGGGCGCCACATCGATCTCAGTATCGATCTCACCCAACAGGACACCGCAGGACACCAGTCGATCTCACGATCGATCTCACGTTTTGGGACACCACGGGACACGTCGGGGCGCCGCGCCGATCTCAATATCGATTTCACTCAACGGGACACCACGGGGCGCCACCGGACACCGCGGGGCACCGCGGGGCACCGCGAGCCACCGCCGGACAGGCGGGGGGGGAACCGTTTGTCTTGACTTCGCCCTGGCAGCGGCGGACACCGCGGGGCACCGCAGGACGCCGCGGGGCGCCGCGGGGCACCGCGAGCCACCGCCGGACGGGCGGGGGGGGGGGATTGGTTTTTGACTTCGCCCGAGCAACGGCGGACGCCACGGGGCACCGCGGGGCGCCGCGGGGCCGCCGCCGGACGGGCGGAGGGGGGAATCGTTCGTCTTGACTTCGCCCTAGCAAGGGCGGCTTTATTCCTCTCGCGCGCCCGCGCAGCTTCGGCTCGCCCGCGCGCGCGACGCGAGCGAAACGAAACGATTCCCCCGTCGGGGGCCTCCGTTCCACTGCGATCTCACCCCCCCCAACCTCAGACGAACAATAATAATAATAATAATAAGAATAAGAATACGAATGCGACGATGAAGAGGAGGAAGAAGAAATAAGCCACACGCGCAAAGGAAAAACGACCAGGGACCTCGCCCCCCGCGCGTTCATCGGCCGCCCGAGCCGCAGGCCGACGAAGGCCTTCCCGGCCGCCTCCAAGCGCGCGGCCACGGTCGGCAGGTTCTCCTGAGTGGGTGGTGCGTGCGTGCGTATGTGTGCGTGCGTGCGTGTGCGTGTGTGTGCGTGTGTGTGTGTGTGTGTGTGTGGGGGGGGGGGGGGGGGGGGGGGGGGGGCGGGCGAGCTAGGTTCGCGCGCCCGCGTCTGACGCCCCGCGCCACCGACGCCCCTCCCACCGCTCGCCATAGCGTCGGCCCCCTCTCAGGTCGCGCGCTTGGATGTCGAGAAGGGCGACGGCTCTGCGGGGGCACGCCAGTAGCGGCTCCGCCGCGCGCGGCGCAGCGCGGCGGTCTCTCGGGCCGCGCGCCGAACGACACTTCGCTCGGCGCGGGCGCCTTGCCGCGCAAACGCGCGCGAGCCCCGCGCACGCGCGCAGCGCGACGCGGCGCCGCGCGGCGCAGCACGGCGCGACTCGAGACGGGGCGTCGCGGGGCGGCGCGCGCGCACGGCGCGGCGCGGCGCAGCGCGGCACGCGGCGCGACGTGGATGGCAATGGCCACGGCGCGGGCCCTCGCGCGCGCCGCCATATTGGATAGGAGCGGAAGGCGCGGGGGGTAGCGAAGGGCGCGGCGCCCTCCTTCTCCGCAACCCTGAGGAAGGACTGGAAGTAGCGCTCCGTCTTGGCCTTCTTCACGGCCGCCGTGTCCTCGCACGGCGGCGGCGGGGGGGGGGGGGGGGCGAGGGCGAGGGGGGGCGGCGACGGCGCGGCCGCGGACGGTGGCGGCGGCGGCACCGCTGCTGCCGCCACCGACGACGATGGCGACGCCGACGACGGGGCGACGCCGACGCCTTGGCGGACCAAGGAAGGGAGGGGGGAGGGCCCCCCCCACCCCCGCGCCCACGCCCCACGGTCCAAGTGGTGCTTGTCGTCGAGCGAAGTGGCCACGGCTTGGAGGCAGGTCTTCAGCCCCAGGGCCGCGTGGTCCGAGGGGCGCTCGACCACCTCTCGGATCGGTCGCGTCGCGCCGTTCGCTCGGCCGCTGTCGTCGTCGTCGTCGTCGTCGTCGCTCGTGGTTGTCCGTGGTCGTCCCGCCTGGCGGCCCACGGCTTCCACATGGAAGCTGAGCAGCTCGCGGAACGCCGCGTCCAGACCGAGCATCCACGAGGGGGAGACCTTGAGGATCTCCTCCTGGGGATGGATCGTCGTCCGTCGTTCCATCGCGTCCCTCCCCACCGCCCCTACCCCCGCCCTCCGTGCGGTACATCGCGTTTTCAACACGTGGCTCTCGCCTCAGTTTTACAAATTTGCCAAAGGCTCACGGATTGAAGGCGGTTCCTTTTCAACATGTGGCCCTCGCTTTGGCGCGGCGCGCATTCTTTCTGTAGCCTTGCAAAAACTTCACGGATTGAGGGCGTGTCGTTTTCAAAATGTTGCTCTCGCCTTAGCGCCACGCACATTCGTCTTACAGGTTTGCCAGATCACGGGTTGAGGTCGGCTCCTTTTCAACATGTGGCTCTCGCCTTAGCGCCGCGCACATTCGTTTTACTAATGTGTCAGAATCTCACGGATTGAGGGCAATTCTTGTTCAAAATGTGGTTTTCGCTTCGGCACCGCGCACATAGTTGAAATAGTTACAAACATTTCACGGATTGGGGGCGGGCCGTTTTCAATATGTGGCTCTCGCCTGAGCGCCACGCGCATTCGTTTTACAACTTTGCCAGATCACGGAATGAGAGCGGCTCCTTTTCAAAATGTGGCTCTCGCTCTAGCACCGCGCACATTGCTTTCAAGAGCTTGGCAACAGTTTCACGGATTCCCATGATCAGCGTATCAGAAACGGCATCCTGGAATGATTCAGGATTATGCGGGTGCAACAGGTATGTTGGTTCGCGGAGATGGAGTGTCGACCATGGCCCTCTGGCACAAGTCCAAGTCGTCAGGACGCAACAGTCAGGTTGCTCCGTTGCGTGGAAATCCCGAGAAATATCTTTTGGCATTCTGCAAAGTCTTCAAGCGGTTGTCTTCTAACGGGGCAATTCTCTCAATGGAAATGAACCGTTACGGGGCCTATGAAGAGGGAGGGTCAAATTCCAACATCGTTGATGACTCTTGGGTTTACACTGGTCCTCCTCCTCCTCCTTCTCTTCCTCCTCCTCCCCATGCTTCCCATCCTCCTCTTCCTCCTCCTCCTCCTCCTCCTCCTCCCCGCCATCCTCCCCCAAAGGTTCCCCGAAGGGTTTCCACAGCGGCCGGGGGAACACATGGCCCGATAGCTCGGCAGAGCTCTTGCCACAACGCTCGGCCACATGGGCGATTCCAATAGGCAGGGGGCGGCGGTGATTCGCCGTAGGCGTTTGCGATATGCAAAACTAAACCGCTGGCCCCCTTGTGGGGCCACAAGGCTGTAGGGCAAAGGTTTGCTGCTCCCTGCACCAGTTGCAGGTTCCAGGGGTGCAGTTTCCAATGTGATAGGTTTGCTTCTTGTTGTATTACTGTTCCTTGTTGTAGACCGCGCGAGGGGGGTGGGCCGAAAATCAGCCTGGTTAGCGTCTCCTGGGAGGGGTCTCAGAATGTCTGGGGTCGAAAAACACATCGGATTTGCCACATTTTTGAAATTCGGCGGCACCGCTCACGCAGATCAGAAGGGTCAGGGTCTAAAAACCAATAGGATTTGCCACATGTTTGAAATTCGGCGGCACCCCTCAGGCAGATCGGCGGGGTCAGGGTCGAAAAACCCATAGGATTTGCCACATTTCTGAAATTCGGCGGCTCCCCTCACGCAGATCGGCGGGGTCAGGGTCCAAAAAACACAAGGGATTTGCCACATTATTAAAATTCGTGGCACTCCTCATGCAGATCGGCGGGGCCAGGGTCGAAAAACACATGGTGTCTTGTATATCCTTGCCACCCCACCCTTCGAGCTAGGTATGTTGGGAGCCTGTGTGAATAGTCTCGTGCTTTGCTATTCTGTGTTGCAGGCGTGCTCGTACTGTGATTGTTGTGGCTCAAGTCTCTGAAAACGTGGGGAGGAGAGGCGGGCCCCAGCGACCCTCAGTCGCCCTCTCCCCGCGCCCGTCCGTCCCTCTCGATCCGATCGTCAGCTCACAATGGTAGCCGGAGCGTGATGGTTGAGGAGGGCCACGAGGCGTCGGGGAGCACAGACGGAGGGCAGATGCCTGCCCCTCAAGACACCACGGAGGAGGAGACGCACAGAGAGCAGACCGAAGGCACCCACCCGCCGCAGCCGGCCTCCAGCGGGGCCTCACCAGCAGCGAGCGGGGACCAGCCCGCCGACGCAGCAGCAGCAGCCGTGGCGGCGGGCAGCGTGGCAGCAGCAGCCGCGGCGGCGGCCACGGCCGCGGGGAGCGACCCGTGGCAGCAGCCAGGCGGAGATCCCTGTCAGCAGGGAAGCCAGGCGAACGACTGGCAGGGATGGAGCGCTGGCCGATGGCACTGGGTTCCGTGGCAGTCGTGGGACGGCTCGGGCTGGGGTAGCGCGAGCTGGGCCATGTTCACGGCGCCAGAGCAGCCTCCGCTCCCGCGAGCCCTGATGGGCGGAGCAGCGGCTGCTGCAGGAGGCACCTCGCCTCCGGCGCCGGCGACGACGGCCACCGCGGCAGCAACGGACAGCCAGCCTCGGGCACCGACGGCAGCGGCGGCAGCAGCCGCGGCCCGCCAGCCTCAGGCACCAGCGGCGGCGGCAGCAGCAGCCGCGGCCAGCCAGCCTCAGGCACGAGCAGCGGCGACCGCGGCAGGAGCAGCCGGGGCGATGTCGCTCGAGGCAGCCGACGTACCACCGCCTCCAGTTGCGCCCGTCTCAGGATGGCCGGCGCAGTCGTTCACGGAGCAGGGGACCACCGGCGGCTGGCGGCCGAATGACACGCAGGGCCCGCAGCCGTGGCAGGGCTTCGAGAGGCTCGACGTCTGGCTGGTGCAGGTGAAGAGATGGAGCCGGCGCACGGGGCTGCCAGCAGAGCAGCAGGCGGGCAAGGTCATAGACGGTCTACCTCCAGACCTGCAGGAACGCCTCCTGCATTATCAGGACGAGCTCGACGGCCCGCCGGGCATGGAGACGCTCTACGCGTTCCTGAAGAGGTGCAGGGGCGACCAGGACGACGACGAGGCGAAGGAGGCGTACAGGCTCGTGCTCGAGGACACGGAGATCCGCTCGGGGGAGACGTACACGCAGTACGTGATGAGGCGGGATCTCCAAGTACGCACGGCTCGGCGACATGGTCTGGACTTACCGGAGAAAGTGCAAATGCAGCAGTTGAAGAACGGATCAGGGCTGACAGAGCAGAACATGATAAACCTTCTGTCGATCACTCAGGGCAAGGAGGACCTGGAGTCGATCAAGCGTGGGCTGATGAAGATGGATGTTCGGAAAAAGGGGTCGCAAGCAAGAAAGCAGAAGGTGTACGTCGCGGACCAGAGTGACGACGAAGATGGGAGCGCCGACGCCGCCATCTACTACGAGTTCGAGCAGGACCTCATCATGGACGACGCTGACGCGGCGGCCTTCTACGAGGCGATCGAGAGCCAGGAGTTGGACGAAGATCAGGCAGTGGCTGTGCTGGCCGCAGTTCTGGATGAGAAGCGAGCGACCTCGGGCAAGCCTCGAAAGTGGGCTGAGAGCAGAGAGCTGAAGAAGGCGATCGCGCGAAACCGAAACTTCTTCGACAGCAAGCGCAGCGGTGGCAAGCCGGCCCCACGGCCGGGAACAGGGCATCAGCAACTGAGCGTCAGCCAACTGAAGCTCAGGACGAGGTGCGCCAACTGCAGTCAGAAGGGACACTGGCGAAAGGAGTGCACCAACCCGTACAAGCCTAAGCCGACGACGACGGGATCCACGCAGAAGGAGCCCCCGCGTCCCAAGAGAGATGGCGATCGTTCCTACTACCTGGCAGCGACCACCGAGGACGACGGCGACTTCGGCTCCCTCATCGTGGGCAGCCATCGGATTCTCGAGCTGTGCCGGAAAGTGCGGGGAGACGACGAGGCCTACGCGTTCGAGATGCACCCTCAGGATGAGCCCGAGGGCATGATAGACACAGCGGCCGGACAGGCACTGGTAGGGAAGAAACAGTTGACGACCCTGATCGGCAAGTACCGTGAGCGCGGCTGGAACATCCCCTTTCGTGAGGTGAATCACGTGGGGACCGCGAAGGGGATCGGAGGAAGCTCGAAGGTGATCGGCGAAGCCATGGTGCCTGTGACGAAGGGCGGCATCAGGTGCCTGATCCTGTTCAGGGTCATCGCCGAGGACGTGCCCTTGCTGCTCCCGGTGCGCTGGCTGGAGAGCCTGGGCGCCGTCGTGGACCTCGAGAAGAACACCATGAATCGGCAGAGGTCCGGGCACCGGACCATAGGACTTTTGGACGAGAGCAGCCCGCAGGAATTCGAGATTCCGGCAGGCGCTCAGCTGGACTGGCCAGGACTGAGCACGAGCGATTTCGGTGCGTACGTTTCTCCCTCCACCTTCTGCAGTCTGTCTCCCTCTCCCGCAGACTTCCCGAACGCGCGTCCTAATTCGGAACTAGGACGCGCTCCAGGACGTCCAGGGCACCCTCACCCAACGCTCCCGGGGGACCCCTCTCGGGGAGAAGCGGTCGGGGCGGCCTCGGGTAGGCCGATGGGAGTCAGGAGCCAGGAGGTACCGCAAGCTGAGATAGAGGAGGCGAGGTGGCAGACAGAGGCGGCGAGGAGTCGAGGAGTCGAAGAGGACGTCATCCCGGGGACCGGCCTTCCGAAGATCTCTGGGCTCAAAGAACCTGAGAGTCAACCGCACCACGAGATCACCTCCGAGAGCTTCGGCTATGGGGCGACTCGAGAAGTCGCTGCAGGGTGCTCCTGGCTCGGGACGGTCGAGCAGTCTGGTGAGGAAGGACAGCAGGAAGGAGAGGAAGCCCAGCACGCCGCGCCAGTCGGTCCGGTTCGAGGACAAGATGGATACGAACAGCCAGGCGTCCTGGGAGCAGATCGGCGAAGAGGACGAGTCGGACTCGCCGACCGGCCCGCTCGGGGAGATGCCGTGGCCAGAGTCGATCAAGGCCACCGGTCAGCTGACGACAGCCGAGAAGGGATGGAAACGCATGATGGTTCAGCTGGCCGATCACATCGCAGCCGAGAAGATGACGAACATGATGCAGGAGATTCGAGCAGAGCAGGTGACCAAGACGGGGCAGCTGGAGTGCAGCCACCCGACCTCCGCACTCTTCGAGACGGAGAACCAGTACAGCAGGTGGGCCAAGTGCCTGGCGTGCGACAAGAAGCTGTGGATGCGCCCGCTGACGAAGGAAGAGCGCCGAGCCCAGCTGCAGCGCAAGGCCGAGAAGCAGGCCAGGAAGGAAGCGCGGCAGACCATGGAGCGGGAGCTGGCGCAGGAGGCGCCCTTCGAGCCACCCAAGAGGGTTCACAAGGTCAAGCCGCCGTCGACGAAGACAGCTACCCCGTCGGCATCATCCAGTTCGGGCGCCACGACGGAGCTAGGACAGCTGGCCAGCGCCATGCAGGCCAACACCGAGACGCTGAGCAAGATGGCGACAGCGATCGAGCGCCTGGCCAGCAGCCGCGGCAACTGAGGAGCAGCGGGGATAATGGGGAAGGAGTGGGAGGGAACGAACCCAATCCTCAGCGAATCACGGGGCCCCGGGATCCCAGTTGCACGTACTGTCCCGTGGGGGGGAACCCCGAGGGAAATCACTTGATCTGGAGGGCTGCGTCCGTAGCCCGTGCTCGACAGCTGCGCCGATCCGGCAAAGCTCATCGGGACACTTTTTTCCGGTCCCAGTCCGTGTGGTGGGACAGTGCCAAGGGGACGACCACGACCCTCGACGAGGTCGCCGGGGAGAGGGGATGGCTGCCCAGGGAACTGTCCAGGGACGAAGTCGAAGTGCTCTTCGCTCGCGTCGCTTGTCACCTCGTCGGTCGACCCAGCGTCGAGTTAGGGGAGTGGGTCCGGGGGCTCGCCAGAATCAGGTGTCGAGGAGGCTCGAGGGTCCTTTACGACACGCTCGCGCCCGACTTCAGCGCTCGGCAGGTACAGACTCTACTTGCGGAGGCCCCGAGCGACAGCCTGAAGGTGGAGATCTGGGTCACCCCGCCGCCGGGATTGACTGGGGCGACCACCAACGTCCCTCCGCCCGGATCGACTGGGGCGACGACCAACGTCCCTCCGCCCGGACCGACAGGGAGGATTCCAGCCCAGGGGAAGGAGGAGCGCCCAGGATCCGAGGATGTCGATGATTCGCCTTTTGGGGGGATTCTCACCTTGGGATCAGGACTGCCGGCCCCGGGTCCAGAGCTCGAGGAGCTCACGTGCCACGTTCCCAGGGAAGTTCGGGATGCCGTTCTGACCGCGACCGGGGGGAAAACCGTCAGGAAGCAGAAGCGTCATCGGAAGCGTCTGATCCAGGACTATCTGGCCGAGTCAGGTCGGAAGCTCGTGATGGAACTCTTTTCGGTCCCTCGCACGACCGCCGACTTGAAGAGTCGGGGCTACCCAGTGTCTCGCAGCCTCGATCTTCGCACAGGCTACGACCTGTCGACCGATGCCGGAGAGCGAACGGCCTGGGCCCTGCTGGAGGCCGACCAGCCTGAGGTCGTGGTCATGTCTCCTGAGTGCCTGCCGTTCTCAATAGCCCGACGACCCAGCTGGAAAAGGATGACGGCCGAGCGGCTTCGAGAAGCCGAAGAAAAGGGGATTCGCTTCATGTCCTTCTGTATGAGAGTGGCCGAGTACCAGATGACCAGGGGCAGGGGGTTTCTTCTGGAGCATCCGGTGGGGGCCTGCTCGTGGGAGCTCGCCTCGGTGCGGGAGATTTCGAGTCGACCAGGCGTGGTTTCCGGGGTCGCCGATCTCTGCCAGTATGGACTGGCCGTTCAGGGGGGGGAACCGAACAAGAAACCCACCAGATTTCTTACGAATCGCCCCTCGCTGTTGAGACCCCTCCTGCGTCGATGTCAGGGGGAACACAGGCATCAGCACCTGTGCGGCCGGGCCATGACCCGTGCCGCCCAGGAGTATCCTCCCGACCTCGTCGAAGCCATCAGTGAGGGGATTCTCGAGTCGACCCGCATCGCTGCTCTCGGACACCGCGAAGAGTATCAGGACGAGTTTGCCTCTTTCTCTCACCCTCAGGAACCGGCGGCTGCCACACTGGCCGCCGACGAGGAGGCAGATGACTCCGCCTCTGAGGGGGACCCAGTAGAAGATGGGGGGGAGCCCCGGCCCAGCAGGAAGCTCAGTAAGGGGCTTCAGGGGGAGGTTTTGAAGACGCACATCAACCTTGGCCACCCCCCTCGGGACGCTTTTCTCAAGCTGTTGAAGCTAGCACACGCCCGGTCCGACGTTTTAGAATACGTGAGGCATGATTTCCGCTGCGAGCAGTGTGACAGTTACGCCAAGCCGACCTGGCGTCGTCGGGCCGCGGTCCCGAGGACCTATCGCTTCAACCGAGTGGTGGCGGTCGATTGCTTTTTCGTCACGATCCTGGGGACCAAAATCGCCGTCCTGAATGTCCTGGACCACGGATCAGGGTTTCAGCAATGTCACATGATACCGCCCAACGACGCCCTGAGTTCTGAGAATGTCTGGGCCGCTTTCGAGCGATGCTGGCTGCGGATCTTCGGTCCCCCCGAGGTTCTTATCAGCGATGGCGGGGGGGAATTCCTGGGAGCGTTCGGGAGAGGGTGCGAACACGTTGGAACCTTCCAACACGTGTGCGACTCGACCTCTCCCTGGCAAAACGGCAGGGCAGAGAGACACGGAGGCTGGATCAAGGATGCGGTTTCGAAGGCCTCGGAAGTTGTGCACCCCAACACCCTCGAGGAAGTGGAGCTCCTCATTTACGAGACGGTGGCTGCGAAGAACAGATATTACCACCGCTCAGGGTACTCCCCGTACCAGCTAGTCTTCGGAGAGAATCCCCGTCTCCCCCGGGCTATGCTCAGCGACGAGGGGGTGGACGATGTCGGCGTCGATGACGTGATCCAGGGGAATGTCGAAGGCTGCGACTCCGCAGCAGGGGCGGTCGCGAGGAAGCATCAGATTCGGGAACAAGCCAAGCTGGCACTCATGTCGGCCGATGCGAGATCACGCGTGTCAGAAGCCAGTCGGGCGCGGCACCACGCCGATCGAGCGTACGTTCCTGGGCAGTGGGTCTACGTCTGGAGGAAGCTTGTCGGGGCCAAGAGCCACTCTCTGCAGCGAGACCGCTGGGTGGGCCCCGGGGCCGTCGTGGTGCAACGCGGCACCACAGTGTGGGTCGCGATGAGGACGAAGCTCTGGAAATGCAGCACCGAGCAAGTCCGGGCCGCCACCAGGATTGAGGCCCAGGGAGCCGAGCTGGCGGACACTCCGGAGTTCCGGAGCCTCCAGGAGCAGGTCAAGAATCCCGGTCGCCGTATCGGGGCTCTTGATGTGACGCAGGAGGGTCCTCCTCCCGAGGAAGCCTGGGACGCCGCGGGCCCTCGGGCCGAGGAAGCCAGCGGCCCGTTTACCCCCGGCGAAGCCAGCGGAAGGCACGGCGGCCACGCCCCAGGACCTACTCTGGATGAGGAGCCTCAGCCCGTCCCAGAGCCAGCCTCGGTTCGCTCAGATCCCAGTTCGGTGCGTGAAGTAGGGGAGTCAGTGCCTCCGAGCCCAGCTCCTGGGATACCGGAGGCCCTTTCCGACCCGGGGGATGCCAGAGAGAAGGAGGAGAAGCTTCACGTTCCACCCGAGTTGTCAGGCCCCCCCGCGTCCCGTCCCCGAACGAACAGTCAAGTGTCGTCCCCCGGAGCCCTGCCGCCGCAGGTCACCGGCGGCCAGACCGCGCCGAGACCGCCACCGGAGGAGACGGCTCGGAGCGCCGATCGAGACCGCTCTCCACGAGCAGTCACTCGAATCTCAACTCACACACGGCGTCCGGGATCCCCGGTTCGAGGGCTGCTAAGTCGGGACGTTCGGGTGACCCCAGTCGAAGCCAACGGGGGCTCCTCCGTTGTCGAACGAGTTCAGGAGTGGGAGAAGTTAAACAGTCCCGGAGAAGGGATCGAGCCAGGGCCACTAGTGGGCCTCGCCGAGGAACCCGAGGGGGACACTGGGGACTTCTGGATCGATCTCGGACCGGCCGATGACGGCGAGGCGGACCCTCAGGATCTGGACCTTTTCGCGGAGATTCTTCAGGTGTATGCTGGGAGCGCTCGGTCTCCCGAGGGATGTACTTTCGTCGTGAATGGGTCATCCTCGTCAGCCAAGCCGGACGCAGGGACGAAGCGAGGTCAGGAAGTCGTTTGGAAGCATCTGAGCCCAGAGGAGCGAGCTCAGTTCCGTGAGTCGGACGCGGTCGAGTGGTCAGCGATGACCCAGACGAAGGCCGTGCGTGTCCTTTCCCCCTCCGAGGCCGCCCTCATTCGCCGTAAGGATCCCTCGAGGATCCTCTCGTCGAGGATGGTGCGTCGGTGGAAGCCCCAGGAGGGCACCGAGGCGAAGGCGCGCGCGAAGTCGCGATGGTGCGTCCGGGGCTATGCCGATCCGGACGCGGAGAACCTGAAGGTGTATGCGCCTACGCCTCAAGAGGAGGCCGTTCTCGTCGCTCTACAGCTGGTCGCTGGCAAGAAATGGCAGCTGCAGATCGCAGACTGCAAGAATGCCTTTTGCCAAGCTGATCCTCTCTGTCGTCCGAATGGTAAGATCTACGTCGAACCATGTGACGGCGTCGACGTGCCGAAAGGAAGCCTGCTTGAGTTGGTCGCGCCTGTATACGGGCTCAACGATGCCCCGATCAGGTGGCATCAGACGCTGACGGCTTTCCTTCGCTCGCTCGGCTATCGTCGGTCCCTGCTCGAACCGTGCCTCTGGGTCGCCCACTACCCCACGGGGGGATTGAAGTCGTTGATCGTCATCGAAGTCGATGATTTGATTATCGCCAGTGACCCTTCGTACGAGAAGGCTCTTAAGGAGCAACTTACCAGCAGGTTTAAATTCGGAAAATGGCAGTCTGGAGAGGCCGAGTATGCCGGCCGCCGCATACGTCAGATGCCAGACGGGCGTATCTTGGTTGATCAAGAAAAATACATGCTGGAGCAAGTTCGACCGATGAAGCTAGACCGCCAGAGAACGGGACAGCCAGAGCAGCTGCTCGACGAGCGGGAGCTCCGGGACTACAGGGGATTGGTTGCTAAGATCTTGTGGGTCGGGCGCCAGTCGAGACCAGACGTTTCGGGGTCTGCGTCCAGTCTCAGTGCGGAATGCCCTCATGTCACTGTTGCCTCGGCCATGATGGCTAATCGTGTTGCTAGATACCTTCGCGGAACCGCCTGCAATACGATTACGATCTGGCCGCTTGACCTGGCAGCAGTGACCGTGATCACCTGCAGTGATGCAGGCGGTCCGGGCTCCGCCAAGCGGGACGGGGCCCAAGGGGCCTGGATGGTCCTGCTCGGGGCCCAACGTGCGAAGGTTTCTCTGCTCTCCTGGCGCAGTCAGCGTCTCCGTCGTGTCGTGTCGTCCACCCTGTCCGCCGAGACGTTGAGTCTTTCAGGTGCCTTAGCAGAGGGGCAGTGGATCTGGCTGGTCTTTAGGGACGCGTTGTACGGGGACGTTCGGGGGCCCGACTGGTGGAACTCCTGCTCCGCCTGCCCGTTCGCCGTCGCCCTCCCGGACGACTGCGAGATCGCGGTAGCCTCCCAGGAGATCTCCATCGTAGACGCTAAGAGCCTCTTCGACACTCTGTCAAAGAACTGCGGAGGGAGTAAGGCTGATCGACGTAACAGCATCGAGATGGCCATAGTTAGGGACTCGATGGTCGCCAACCTCTCGACGATCAGGTGGGTCCCCCACTGTAAGATGCCCGCCGACAGTCTGACCAAGGTGGACCCCCAGCGCGGCAATTATGCTTTGGCCGATTTGATGGGGAAGGGCACTCTGGCGCTCACAGATGAGACGGGATCGCTCGACGAGAGGTCACTGAACCTGGCACTCAAGTCCCGGTCTCGGGCGTCTTCGAGGAAAGTCTTGGCCCAGGAGTCCTCCGACAAGGAGAGGATCACAGGGCGGAGCCCCGAGGAGGAGGAGGAGGAGGAGGAGGAGGCAGGCGGCGAGAGGGAGGAGGCCCATGCGGGGACGAGAGAAGCAGACGCCGTCGTGGCGCTCAAGCCTCAGCGCCCTCAGCCCGTGGTCGAGCACGGGAGAGGAGGAGACTCGTGAGAAGGAGAAGAAGAAGCGACGCGGCCGCCAGGACTCACATCCTGCGGCTGAAGTTCAGGGACGCTCGGGCCGTGCCCGCCGTGTACCCTCGTGGGGGGGGGAAATCGGGGACCGCGGGGAGGGGCCTGGCGTTCTGTCTGCGCTGATTTTGAAAGAGCTCGAAGGGTGCTAAAATAGGGGGCACTGTCTTGTATACCCTTGCCACCCCACCCTTCGAGCTAGGTATGTTGGGAGCCTGTGTGAATAGTCTCGTGCTTTGCTATTCTGTGTTGCAGGCGCGCGCGTACTGTGATTGTTGTGGCTCAAGTCTCTGAAAACGTGGGGAGGAGAGGCGGGCCCCAGCGACCCTCAGTCGCCCTCTCCCCGCGCCCGTCCGTCCCTCTCGATCCGATCGTCAGCTCACACATGGGACTTGCCACATGTCTTGAAACTCGGTTGCCCCCCTCACGCAGACAGGCGGGGTCAGGGTCCAAAATTACAAGGGATTTGCTACATTTCTGAAATTCGGTGGCATTCCTCAGGCAGATCGGCGGGGTCAGGGTCGAAAAACCAATAGGATTTGCCACATGTCTTGAAATTCGGTGGCCCCTTTCATACAGATCGGCGGGGTCAGGGTCCAAAAAACACAAGGGATTTACCACATTTCTGTAATTCGGTGGCACTCCTCATGCAGATCGGCGG